CCTAAGGTTGTCACCATGCCCAGCCAAAATAGTAAGTTGAATATTACCAATATTTGACCACAATAATATTTTTAAAAAAGCAAGAACTACTTGCTATGAATGCTTATTTCCCCCAAATCAATAAAATGAGACCTAATCCTAAATGTGAAGGCAAGAACAGGTAGGGACTCTGGGAACCATCGAGGTCATGGGAACAGAGCCTTTGTGAAATGGATTAAAATGCTCATAAACATGAGTTTATTTTCTCCTTCTGCCATCTAAGAACACCATGGAAAGATGCCACGTGTGATCCATACATCATTCTTACCAGCCATGGGGTCTGCTGCTACCTTGATCTTGTCACACCAGCTTCTAACACAGGCAAGAAACACAGCTCTGTTGCTAGAAGCCACTGTTTAGTATTTGTTGTTATAGAAGCCCACTGTACGACAATCTTCAAAACAAAACCAGGCCACCAATCTATTTTTTAGAGACAAGTTACTAAGGTGTTCTGCCACGGACTGTTTTTCCTCAATTTTCTGGTAGAATCTTCTTGTTTATGTAATGTCACAAATGGTACATTTTGACCAATAACCTTGCATGATGACAATAGTAATCACTACTATAGGCCGCCTATTAGGTGCAAAGATCTCGAGGGACCTTGACCTCAATGAATTTGTACATCAATAATTCCATGAAGGACCTATTACTATCCCTGAACATATTTATTTAGGGCTTAAAGGTTTAATCACTTGTCCATTGTCAAGCTGTCACATGATTCTTTTCTTAGAACAATTTGCTCTTCTTAGCATAGTAATATTTACTTGCTATAAGATTAGGTTGGAAGGGACAGGGGTGGGGGAAGTGGAGAGGTAGATGTTAACTATCCTGGGAATTATGAGTGTGTAAAATAAAATCATTTCATCAAAATAAAATTTAACTGGATGTTGAGCCCACTGTTTTAGGTTTCCTCTCGTAAGTAACTATTTAGGACAAACACTATTGTTAAATGACAGACAATGGTGAAGGCTGGGGTCAGGATACTTTTTCATACCCAGAATATTGATTTTCTTTTAACTGTCAGTGATAAGAAATGAATAAACAAACCAGACATTGGTGGTATATGCCTTTAATTCCAGCACTCCTGAGGCAGACGCAGGCGGCTCTTTGTGAGTTCAAGATTTGCCTGGTCTAAGCTACACAAAGAAACCCCATCTCGAAACAAACAAACAAACAAACAAACAAGAACAAACAGCCCAAATTTTGAGTACAATAAAAGGCAGAGTGTGAAGACCCAGCAAATCTCTGGTCATTCTTTAGCCCACCAAGCACCAAGAAACATGAACACCTATCTAATTAACTTGAGTCATTTTGATAATGGTTTCTTTTCTTAATTCTTTCCTTTTCTCTTCTTTCTTCCTTCCTTCTTTCTTTCTTTCTTTCTTTCTTTCTTTCTTTCTTTCTTTCTTTCTTTCTTTCTTTCTTTCTTTCTTGAGACAGGGTTTCTCTGTGTAGTCCTAGCTGTCCTGGAACTAGCTCTGTAGCCCAGGCTGGCCTCGAACTCACAGAGATCCCAATAACGGCCTCTTTCAATAGTGGCTTAGTGTGAGAGTTTTTAATATTAGTGTGGACTTCAGAGGACAATTATCCTCATACACGTCTCTCCCAGAATGATGGCGTGCTCCTTCAGAGGGCATGTGGGATGAGGCAGCCACACTGCATGCCACTGCATGGACAAAGGTACACTGGTTTTTCCAAAACAGACCAATGAGGGCATAGACTGCCTCTTGCCCAGCAGGTCCTTGTCACTCTTGCTGTCTAGTTGTCTTCCCTCCATTAGACTTAGAGACTTCCTGCTGTGCACTGAGGACTATTGGGTTGTTTTGATGTCTCAAGGGTGCACCCTGCTGGAAACGTAGTTTGCCAGACAGTTTACATTTGAAGTTAGAGAATTGTGCTGCCAATAAAGAACCTGGTAGTGAATTACTAGGTCTATAGATAGCTCTGGGGAGGAGAGGGAGGGGTGAGGGAAGGAGAGAAGAGAGAGGAGAAAGAAAGAACGAGTGTGAGTATGAAAATGAGTAAATGGACTGAGACCATCCCCACAGTTACATTCCTCTCCCGACTATGATAAATGAATAAATTGAACCGAGGAGGCCTGACCAAGTTTTTATTGTTTTCCGTTGGACATTTGAAAAGCTGTTAGGGGTTCTAACAGGGGATTGTGGCTATTCTTACCCTTGAACAAAGGCCACTTCTCCTTTATTTGGGGATGGTCATTTCTTTTCCTTTTTGACTGAGTTTCAGAGGGACTCACATGGAGTGCTGAGGGAGGAAGAGGACACACGATGAGCCAGATCAGCTGAAGCAGGCCTGGTGATCAGTGGGGTGACAGATGGAGCAGCCGTGTCACCCTATTATCCTCTGACATTTGCGATTCAGAACCATTAAAAGGATTCTTAGTAGTTACTCCAGTAACTTCCTTTGATCCAAGATTCCCAGTCAAAACCTCTCAACAGTAGATTAAGAACAGAGTCTAGAATTTATGTTTGTGTATCCAACAAATTACAATTCTTTTTAATTAACTCAGTGTTCAGGTACAGAATATGCAGAGTAGAGAAATTCTTGTGAACTCACCGGACACAATTTAAGTTCCAGGAAGCCTGGCACTTTGAGTATTGCACCCATAATAAATTTAATAATATTATTCTGTATCACAATGCATCCCATAGCTAGTAACATTTTTGTTTGCTGTTTAAAGTCTTGATGCTTAGTTTAAACTTCCACCTTTGAAATTATTTGCCTATGAATAATTTATGTATTCAGTAATCACTGAGAATTTCTATGAACTGAAAAAAATCTAAATTTATAGATGTGTGAAATATTTAATAGTAAGAGCAACAGTGGAACTGTCATGCTATATGATATTTGTATTTAATTATGTGGTAGCTAATTTTGGTTTTACATTTTCCCTTTAGTATTTTGCCTCCCCACCGCATTTCTTTATTCTCTGACTATTTTTCTCTGTCTCCTCTTTATTTCCATTCTCTCCTTCCCTCCATTACCTTCCCCCTCCTTTCCTTCAGACCCTTTTAAAACCAAGAGTTCTCAGGTCTAGGAGACTTGCTTGGTTCATAAGATTGCTTTCTGTGTAAGCACAAGGACCTGTGTTTGGATCTTGGGGGTTTATGTAAAAAGTCTACACTTGGTGTGAGCATCTTTAGTCTTTTCTGGAGAGTTGGGAATCAAAGACAGAAGAATCCCCAGAAACATGAAAACCAGTTAGCTGGGTGTGTACAGTAGAAAAATATCAAACCCAATCAGCAAAGTCACCCTGTCTTAAGGTGGAAGGCAGTGACCAGCACCGAGGTTGTTTCCTGCCCTCTACATGTGTGGTGGTCCACATGTGTGCTCAGTCTTACTGTCCTGCCCTCCTTTCCTACTCTCTCTCTTTCTCTCTCTCTCTCTCTCTCTCTCTCTCTCTCTCTCTCTCTCTCTCTCTCTCTCTCTCTCTCTCTCTCTCTCTCTCTGTGTGTGTGTGTAACACACACACACACACACCTCAGACTCTACTGCTGTTTCGTGGAAAGACTATAGCCAATTTTAATCAGCTCCTTCTCTGGGCAGCCTTACCCTACACAGCTCAGAAGCCTGATAACTCAAAACTAAACTGTATGAAATTGCTGGAGTTTGTTTTGTTTGCAAAACAGAGGCCATTTCACAAGTCTTAACCCGGCAGTTTTTGGTGTACATATCACAGCCTTCCCTCCCAGACACGCAGAGTTAAGTTGGACATCAAAACCCAATAGGAGCAGAGTGCTGAGCCTGTAGTAGGCATTCAGCATCTGCCAAATGAGCGCATGCACATATAAACGCACAGGCAAATGAAACAACTACGTAAATAAGAGCGAAATTACATGGTACAGACTCAGTAATGGGACTGGTGGAATATATTAATCATGCAAAGCAGCTTGGCAATTACTTAAAGCCTTTTAGAACAACGTTCTGTTTTTAATTTAACTTTGCTTTATTAACAAGAGATTGGCATTGCCTGTGGGAAAAGGCAGTCCTGGCGTATCTCACTGCTGACTCTTCATTAAGGAACAAGAAATGGAAGCATTATAGGCATTAAAGGGTAGGGGGAGGCACTGTGGACCGAAAAGAGAGAAAACTTCAGGGGTTGGTAAGATTTCCATGAAGCAAGCAGATTTCCACTTGGCGGTGAGGTTTCATTTCGGGGTGGGATATGAAATTGGAAAGTCCTGGTATACTTTTCCCCTTTTCCATGTGAACCTGGATTTGCTTTTTTTTTTTTCCTATAGAAAACAAAAAGATGTAAAACCTTCATGTTGAATCGGGCTTCAACTTTGGGACCATATACCGTGCATATGTTCTTCCCACTGCTGTCTGTCACCATGAAGCACACTTGTCCAGGCACCAGGATGAAAATGATGCTTTAGAGTCAAATATGAGGCGCATTTCCACAGTGGAAGGAGCTGTTTAGCTTGTGTTGGGAAGGTCAAGGAAATGGATGCTGGAATAGCTAAGGGAAAGTGTGGGGTGCCCACAAGCAGAAAACTCATTCCTAGGGAAATTATAAAGCATTCAGTGGAGATATTAATTGATTTGGGTTCCGGATTGCATGTCTCTATCATGCCTATAGATTAGCATAACCAGGAGACTAAAAGAAGAAATGAAGCAGAGAAGAAAGGAAACAATAAAAGTACAGAAGAATGTAAGGGAGAGGGAGTTATACAATCAATTTGCTTATATATAATATATTATACAATATATTTTATATTATAGTATATATTGCTATTTAAATAATATGTAGAGGTAGATGATGTTAAAAATGGATCATGAGGGCTGATTTGTCAATCTTAGCAAGTACTGATATATTTAGACTATATGTAATATAGTATAGGAGTTCATGACAAAATAATTTAAGAGTTCATTTTTATATTATCTAACCATATGGTGAATACTATTGTCTTTAAAAATATCAAAATAAGTTCATCTCACCTTAAGTGAACTTTCGTTCACTGATTTCACAGGCGATCCCCTTATATGCGGGTGGGCAGGAGCACAGGCACTGTCCGTCCAGGAGAACCACTGTGCCTCCATTTTGACACGGATGGCATTTTTTCACATTGAACTCATTGATATAGTTTTCGATAGCTCTTTCCAAGTTTTGTCTCTTTATGTATGAATCTTTTATTTTCAAAGGAACCAGATTATATATAGGGGCGAGCTGTAAGAAAGAAAAGATTCAGTCTTGTGTCTTTTTTCTACAAAGGAACTTGTAAAACACCCTTCACTCAATCACTGACTCACGAATTCTTTGATTTTTCTGGAAGCTTATTGAACGGTTATTGTTGCCAGATACAACATTAGCTTTTGAGGTTACTTTAGTGATCAAAAGTAGTCACAATGCATGCTATCATGGAGGTGACATTTACAAATAAAGAGAGTGAGAAGGTCATCTCTATATCAAAACTGTCATCAAGTCAGTGGGAAGCCAGGGGTGGGAGATGTTATTTGCAATACCGTTAAGATCTACCAAGGCTTCACAACCATCCACTAATTTTTGGTCAACAATAAAATTGGCCCCCATAGGTCCACACGGAGTGGCACCACTAGGAGGTGTGGCCTTGGTAGAGAAGGTGTTGTTGGAAGAAGTGTATCATAGGGAGAAGGAGACTGAGGACTCAGAAACTCAAGCCATTTCTTGTGTGGCTCAGTCTCTCTCTGCTGCCTGCAGATCCAGATGGAGGACTCTCAGCTCCTTCTCCAGCACCATGTCTGCCTGCACGCCGCCGTGCTTCCCACCGTGATTATTATTATAAAGGACTGACCCTCTGAACGGTAAGCCAGCCCCAGTTAATTTTTTTTCCTTTTAAGAGTTGCTGTGGTCATGACATCTAATCATAGCAATAAAACCCCAAGACAGTGCCCTTACTCATATTTTGAGTTGGTTCTATCCCTTTAGAAGAAAGGAACCTCTTCCCAACTCCGCCACAGTGGCATAATTGGGGTGAGCATGTAGCAGAGTTATTTTGGATTTTGAAAAAAAAATTATCTTGTTTTGCCTTCAAAAGAAAGTCAAGGCCAGATAATCTAAGATGTGGGACTGGAGGGCCCGTGGAGGAAACAGTTTGGATAATGTTATCAAAATAGTGTTCAAAGAGATAAAGATGAAGGCCACGCGGAAGTGACAGTTTCAAAGAGGCCTAAACCCTGGTGTCAGCACAGCCCCTGAAGCCTTTCTGCTCAGTTTACCTTAGCATGACCAGTTTTGTCTTCTAGTAAGTACAAAAAGGTTTTGAGGTTGTCTCCTACACTCACCAGCTCTCGTGTCATTGTAGACATATTTAAGAAGACAGTCTATCATAAAACTTGCTAAAATACCAAGTTTCATATTAATCACATTTAGATCTCTTCCAGTCATCCAAAATAATTAGCAATGTCATCAAGGAAATGGATCAAATGTAGTCCTTAATGAAATGAGAATTATGTTTTACCCCTATGGAAGAGAGATAGACACAGCATGCACTGTGCCATTATGGCTGTAGCCTACAGAACGCTAACATGTGGCCCTTTAAAACACGGGTGGTCGGTACCATCTAGTGCATGTCTGCTCAGAATTATACAACAGCACAAAGTGGCAGGTTATTATCTCATGGCATTTGAGAAGCTCAGAATGTAGATTGCCCATGTCCTCAAAGGGAAGAGTGAGAGTCGGAAATGGGGAAATGGCAAAGAAACGCTGAGACCAGAAAAGGTGAGGGGCAGAGGTGGCGCTAAGGAGCAAGAGTCAAGTCAGAAGAACGCATCCATTTGCACCAGGTGAGCCACGAGTTTGGCTACATCTGCTAGTCCTCTGAAATAACACACGAGGGGATTTCTCAATCCCGTGCATATAAGAAAGTGCACCTGATTTCCAGGAGAACCAAAATGAGATTAAAGACTAATATTTCCCATGAGTTCCCATGAAGGGAACGTTTATTACATAACATCCTTTCAGAAAATGAAGTGGGCTTGCATAATCTTGTTTCTTACAATGTCAAAACAAAACCTTACAGGAAGCCAGTGTATTAAATTACAGCTACGCTCATCTAGATGCCTGTGCTCCGGCAGAGGTTGGAAGCGTCGTATCTCTCCGGTAATCTGTAATAGACATAGTTTCTCTCTGCTGACATTTTAAGGATTTGATTGTAACAGTGGCTGTAAGGGAAAAATAAACAGTGTTCAGCTCTCTGTGGAGACAAGATGTAGGCTATTTGGGGCAGTCTACAAGCAGGCTGAAAGTGGGATTAACATCTTTTCCTGAAAATTGAAGACCATGACAGTAGTTGGCCTGTATTCTTTGTATGGAGGGAGGTCAAGAGCAAGACATTGGGATATTGAAAGCCACGGGCTCTATTTAGTATAGTACCACCATGGTCTTTGTATTATAACATATACTGCAATATATACTACCATCATAATTATCAATTGTTTTACTTAGGATAATGTGCCTTTCTAATTCTTCCATGATGAACCTCTTTTTTTCCAACCTAGCTATGAAGATCGCTGCTTCAATTTGCAACAGAGGATTAAATACAATTTAATAGTTTAGGGTGATAGGGAGAGAACCCATAAGTCTCTGAGCAATAGTGTACAAAGATAATCGTTTCAGCATCCCCAGGGCTTGCCATGTTGTCTACAGACAATAGAATCCTTCTCCTCACCCAAAGGTGAAGTAGTGATTGTAGAAGACAGATTACCTGATGAAATTAGTAACCATTCTCCCAAAGGTCCATTTCTATAAGATTTATGAGAGCGAAACTCCTTAGAATATATTTCAAGGTCAAACTTGATAATATTTTATTTTGTTTGTGTTTGTGTGTGTGTGTGTTTTGTGGTACCAGAGTGTTGAGCACAGGCCCTTGTCTAGGCTAGGTCAGGGCTCTACCACTGAGATGTATCTGGAGATGCATTTTTGTTTTTGAGACAAGGTCTTATTAAGTTGCCTTAAATCTTAAACTTGCCACACCCCTACATCATCACCCTAAATAGATAGGATCACAGGTAGGTGTTACCACACTAGGCTACAAGGTTAAACTTAACTGTATCACACTTCTCTTTAGGGATTTAAACAGGCAGGGAAAGTCGATTTTTTTTTTAAAATAACCATTTCTCCCTTTCAAAATATTCTCTATAAGAAGATGCATTTACAAAGTGGTCCTTGGGACAGTGCAGCTGCCATTTCCTTGGATGGGACATTGATGTGGATGAACTAGGCTTTCAGTTTGTGAAGGATGAAGCAGACAACTAGAGCGGACAGAATCTTCCTGAGCTAATGATCTGAACAGTTAGCAGGATTCACCATATACTGAACCCAGAGCACCGTGCTGACTAGGCTGATGAAAGTCTTCGAATATTCTAGTGAACACAGTTGGGACTTTGTAGCAGAGACTTTATTCCCCAGATATAAAACGCCAGCTCTGAAGCACGGCTCACTGTTTACAACCTCCCAGAGACTAGTCTTGGATCCCTTTGTACAGGACAAACTGAGCTTGGTTTACAAAGCTGAGAGAACAAGGTAGCTTAGATGTTCTCTGCCTGCATCTTCCATTCTTCCCTTATTGAAAATCCTCTGTCGCAGATTTTATTTACTGAGTCCATGATAATGGATTTAAATAAAATTTATATTTAACAAATAGGCTTCCTTTGATTTTTATTTTCTTATACAAGCCAGTTTTTTTTTTCATTTCTATTTTGTCTAATTTGGGGGACAATACCTTTCATTTATAAGTTGCTGTTGTTGCTGTTCTGGGAGTTGAACCCAGGAATTAATATAAGCTAAGCAAGTGCTCTACCACTGAACTATATATATGATATCTGTCTTTCTCTGTCTTTCCTTCCTTCCTTCCTTCCTTCCTTCCTTCCTTCCTTCCTTCCTTCCTTCCTTCCTTCCTTCTTCTCTCCTCCTCTGCCTCCTTCCCTCCCCCTTCTTTCTTTCCTCCTCTTCTCCCTCCTCCCTTTCTTCCACTTCCAGTTTCAATTTTGAGCCAGAGTTCCTCTAAGTTGCCCAGGTAGGCCTTGACCTTGAGGTCTTCTTACCTTGGCCTCCCGAGCAGCTAGAGTTATAGTCTGGGCTCCCACACTTTATATAAAGTTATGTATGCACATATGCTAAAGGCTTTATTTCTACAGCCAACATGCAGAACTGGTTGCAATTTTCAATTTCTGGGTTCTTCCTCCACATTAGAGAGATAGTTTGGGTAGCTCTAATGAACCCTTTAAAGACAATAAAATAAAGTGAGGAAGTAAATTTCTCTGGAAACTACTACTATAAAAAATGTCAGCCTTTCTAAAATGTAATAAAACCGACATTGTGAACAAAGATAAATTTAACTGGAGAGAAGAAACAATAAGGCACGCACAGAAAGTGGAAAGCTATAAAGGCAAGCAAAACTACTTTTCAATAGTGCCAGGAAAACAAGAAGTAGTGAATAACACATACATATTTTAGTAAATAAAAAGACGCAGCCGAATGGCCACCGTGTTTACATCTTTACAATTGGAAAATATTGCCTCCCCTTCAAGAGTAAGCAGGAGACTACAGACTCTCAGGGTTCCCTGGAGTGGACGTTATTATTACCGTTATGCAAGAGAGAGACAGATTCCCATCTGTATCCCCAGCAGTTGGGAGACTAATGCAGAAGGATTGCTGAGAGGTCAAGCCTATGCCAGGCTACAGAGTTAGACCCAAACTCATGGAACAGAACCAAACAAAACATCAAAACAAAAAATCAGAAAGAGGGCATGTCTATAATTCCAGCTACTCAAAAGTTTAAAGCAGAAGGATCATTAAAGCTCAGGCGTTAGGCCAGGTGCTGGCAGTACAGGCCTTTAATCCCAGCACTCGGGAGGCTGAGGTAGGCAGATCTCTGTGAGTTTGAGACCAGCCTTGTTTACAGAGTGAGTTCCAGGATTGGCTCCATTGCTACTGAGACACCCTGTTTCGAAAAACAAGACAAAACAAATCAAAACAAAAAAAAAAAAACAAACAAAAACAAAAGTAAGTTCAGGAGTTACAGCCCATCTGGACAATGAGAAAGAGAATGGGAGGGCATTAATTCTCCGATCACAAGAATTACTCATCTTGTTTTAATGTTTGACATATGAACATCCTTTCCACAATGACTCTGAGATGAGGGTCTCCTGCTGTGTGATACCCAGAGAAGACATGGCGAGCCAAAGGCCAACAGAAGAGAACCATCCATTCTTATCGACTACTTTGGGCCAACCCTTACTATACACGCTATACGAACAATCTCAATAAGCCTTCAAAACCACATGGAAGATCTGCAGAATTCAGTGTTGTAAAATCAGAAATGTCCCACACCTAGTGAGTGACAGGCAGCCCCAGGAGTTCCTTTTAGGTTGTCTGACATTACACTATTTCTTCTCTACAATTCTTTTATTCAAGGAAGTCATGTGCGGGCATTTGAATAGTGCCATCTCTGTCTTCTAAAGGCAGTAGCAGTCCTTACTTTTTGATTAATGAGTGCCGGAGAATCAACCAAGGACGAGGCCCAGTTGGCAACATCGCTGGCTTCGAGTATCTTGTCTCCTCTGTGAAGCTTTTCTTTCAGGAGAACTGCGTGTTTCCCTGCTCCTCCTCTTATGTTTGCAATGACACCGCTTATGATGCTGTCGCTGGTGAGATTTACTGGAACAAAACAAGGAAGACTTGAAGAAAGAAGCATTTGCATCCTGGTGGTCACTTCCCTTGACGAATGTGTATTATGTCTCTCTAGGACAGCTTAGTGTGTCTGCTGAATTCCCGTGTAAATGTGATGCACATAAATCTCATCTCCATAGTCTAAGAGGGGAATTTTTCTCAGCAGTCAGTTTATAGATTTCAACCATCTTTGTTTTGAAAAATAATGGTTGTACACTCGATCCAGGTAGATTGATAACTTATAGCTCATCATATAAATACAAGTATATATAGGGAAATTAATGTGACTTTGGATGTATTTATATATTTGTACAAATGATGAATATATAAAATATACAAATATTCATATATTTGTATAAATATAAATGAAGATAAACTTTCAAACTTCATATTTATATTGTGTATAGTATGCTTTAAATTATCTTCTTATTATAGAAATATTAAACATATCTAAAAAGACTGAGGTAAAAGTAAACTTGCTCCCATCCCAAATCCTATTCCACTTTCTCTGTTCCTCTCTAAACTGAACCACTTTAAAAAATGTCTAAAACATTTAGAGTCATGGAGTTTGATTTTATGTTTGCAAGGCACTGCACTGGTTGAGGGCTAAGGAAAGGTTAACCCATCAAGCCAAGCGGATAGTCGATCTGGGAAAGTGATTTAGGTCTTGTTCTTTGTAATGGACACAAGGTCCCACATTAGCCATGTAAGGCCTTGTGAAAATTTAGGAGAAAAAGAAACTTGTCTTTAAGACACTTTGCTGCCAGTGACTGGTTTTCTGTCATTGCGAAAGATACACAGCCCATGAGCACTGTGCCTCCCTTGCACAGTCCCGACTTGGACAGATATGTGCTCATAGTGATTAGGGAGGAGCTAAATAGTTATTAAGGGATTCCAGGTTTTCTCCCCGAAGATGGTGGAGTGCTGATCATGGGAGGCAATGCTCTTGGCTATTGGCTCTGCCTTCCCCAGGCTAACCAACCAGTCCATACTTACCTCTTAAACCGCCTCCTCCTATTTTTGTGCAATCATTTGTGTTAACAGTTGCTGTGGTGCTAGGTTCATCAAAGAAGGTATGTAGAGGGGTATTTAAGGATGCATCCACTTTAAACCCAAGACACTCCTTTACATCATTCACTTCAACACCTGCGTTAGAGATTCATATGAAAATTATTTGAAATGGTCTATCAACATCAGAAACGAATTCAAACTTTACTATTTTGTGACAAATATACTTATGTTTCTGGCCACCATTATTAACTCAATAGTAACATCATGTCTTCCCTCCATGACATTGATATCTAGTAGCATCCTTTCACTTGGCTACCAACTTAGTAACGGAGGATGTATTAACTTTACTCCCTGTTTGAAAAGGATTTAGGTCAGTCAAGGTGGTTATAGGAAAGTCCTTTGGGATACCCAAGGAAGACAGCAATGTCCAATATGCACTGAATGGTAATTACATGCGTGGCATTATTCTGAACATTTTATATGAGTTAAATAATTCAGTCCTCACATTAACCTTTTGAGGGATCACTCAGTTTCAGTTGAGTCTACAGAATTACAGAACAATACCCAATTGTTTTGGGCACATGATTTGAATATACATTTGAACTTCGTTTTAGCTCACAAATAACAATCTTGGAAGTTAACTCACTGTGGTTAGTATATGCCTACCCAAGCAGTTATAGCCATAAATTCTGTGAAGTCTATAGTTTGTTATCTATTGTCTTTTATATATAGAATATGTAAATATTATATAGAAATAATAACTCTATAATAAATAATATATAAAATAAATTAAATAGATAATAAAATAAATAGAAAATAAATAATAAATAAAAATAGAAAACAAAAAGATCTATCTATCTATCTATCTATCTATCTATCTATCTATCTATCTTACACTTACATTATTATATAGCACCTCCACGACCTGCAATTGTTATGATTTGTTAACACAGTCATTTTGAGTTTACTTTTTTTTTATTTTTATGAAACAGAGGCTTTCTGTGATACCCAGACTGGCCTCAAACTCCTAGTCTTTAGCAAGCCTCTTATGTTAGCCTCCTAAGTAGCTGGGATTACAGGCATTTATTGCTGTACTGGACTGTTCTACTCTATTCTTGAGAGGATTAGATGAACCTTTAGGTCCAAGGCATCTCCCAACTATAGGGGATGCATGGATGAAGTACCATATTACCCTGTTCCCGTAGGTTTTAGCATATAGTTTCAACATGGCCTCAACTAAACTACCCTCATAAGATTATAATGATCACCATAAAAGGCAAACTAACTTTTAAACCTTATTTTAACACATAATTGTACAATAGTAATGGTTCTTTCTTCCTCTCAAAGACAGCATAGTTTCCACCGACACTGAAGACTATGTTATAGACAGTCACCATACATAAATTGAGCAAGTCGGAGGATTAAGAGATAGGTTATATACATTGTTTCTTATACCTTCTTCCACATCTTAACTAATGTTTCCTTAGAAGCTCTATTCCCATTGCTAGCCATTCCATTATAGTATGATTTGGTCAATTTCTCAGTAATAGTGTTGGGTACTTGGGGAGCAAGTGAGCTATTCAAAGTGGGAATCAATGATGCACTTGATAGACAGTTAGATGTCAAAGGTCAGAGCAGAATCTCTCAAAGGAATGGACTATTAGATTATTTCATTTTAAAAGTTTGCTCAAAAGGGGCAATGAAAGTAGTAATATTCAATCAGAATCACATTTGTAACTAGAATTGTATTTCCAGGCATTACCTTGATCTTTCATGGAAGCTTTATCCAAGACATATATCAGTTCATAGAGTCCTCCCAGAGACCCAGAGCTACTGTAGTGAGTGCCATAGGTTTCCAAAAATCCAAAATACTCTCCTTTTTCATAGAAGGTTGGCAAAGCATGTAGGTCATCCAGGAAAGTTTTGGCCAGCACAATATCCCGATTTCTCATCACAAATCTACCCACGTGAACCTTTCCTTTCACATGTACGAATACCTTTCCCTTTGTTAAGAAAGCAGCAGAAAAAGAGAAATATGACGTTTATCACTGTCATTAAAACAAAATCATAAAACCTAGAATATTAGCAGGGACCTCTACAGCAGACCACATCAGAATGGATAGACATAAGCTGTTGTTGTTGATAACGTTTGGCAACTGAAGCTCTCAGATATGCTCAGTCAGACACTTTAACGGCATACCTGGTAGTTTCTCATAAAACGAAACACTCCTCTGCCTTCCTAAACAATAATGCCACTTTTAAATGCTTACCGAAGGATTTGTTTCAGGATTTCTCAGCAGCATTCAGCAGCATAGCTTCAAAGAGGAAAAAGCTCAAACATCCATTGACAAAGAAGTTGCTGAGCATCTTAGTGTTGCATCCACACCAAGGGGTTTGGAGCCATCAGTCAAAAGAAACAAACTACTGACCCATTTCACAAGTAATCTCAAACACACGGTGATTGAAAGAAGTCCTTCACAAAGTAGTGTACACTGCACCATCCCCCTCACAGCCACAGACAAAACTAAGCGGCCATAGGAGACATCTGGTCCGTGACTGCTTCTCACTCAATAGGGAACTGACTGTGAAGGACATGTTGGAATTTTCTTGGGGTGGTAGAACGTTCTACATCTTGTTTGAAGACCTAGGTTCTGTGCTCGAAGGTGTGTGCTCTCTATGTTTTGGAGTGGCTTCTGAGCCGTCAGTGGTGAGTGCCAGAACTTTATTGACAAGAATCTTACAGGAACTCACTTCATACATCACGAACCATAACGAGTTCTCCATCTTCTGACCCACATACTACTAATTCTCAGAGAAGAGCAAAACGGAACAGGAATTCTTTCTCAGTGCTGTACAAACTAGAAGTGCATCTTGGGATTTGGAGTAAAATAGATGTGATAATCTTTGGCTCAACTGATTTCAAAGGGAGGTCTTAGATAATTGCTCTCCAAGTTGGTTGTTCTTTCTTTCATCTTAAGACAACAAAAATGATTCTTCTGACCTCGTGAGCCCTACCAGTTGCTACCCATTTCCTAGCCCTCATTAGATACAGCATTGCATGAAAAACTTTTTTTTAAATATACATTCTATTTCCAACTCTTCTTTTCCTAGTTTCTCTGTAATCTACCTTTTTTCTTAGAGGGGAAGGAGTGTGCTGTAAATGTTCAGAGCCTTGAACATGCTATGCAGACACCCTTCCTGAGCTAGATCCCCATATCCTTAGATCTAATACAGCTATTCTGCTGTTCTCACAAGAACAAAACCATTCCGGCCAAGGTTTCTGATGACCTTCATCATCCTAAGGCCAGTGATCACCCTCCTCTTTGTTGACTCATTAGCATATTTGACACAGTTAATTGTTCTCTGTTCAGAAGATTTTTGAGTCTGATGCTGGAGAGTGGAGCTTCTCAAGCTAAAGAGGATGAACAGATTACCCCTGGGGTCTTGTTAACATGTAGTTCTGACTTAGCAAGTCTCGGTGGAATTGATGGGTAGCTCCCCACCGATATAGGTGCTGCTGGTCCAGAGACCACACGGAGCAACAAGGTTCAAGGACATCGTACTACGTGCTTTCTGGTTTTCTCCTTTTGCAGTTTTCTTTATATTAAAGTTTCCAAAATTTAACAATTACTCTTGCACTTATAAAATGTATGATAACCGTGTGCTCATCCCACAAAGTCCTATGATTTTTAGGCATCATCTTGATATCAAAATGTTTTAAAATTCTATCTTGAACCCAGATCTCCTTCTCAAACTCCAGACTTTTAGCTCCCATTTATTACCTGGAACTTTCAACTGAGCACTTAACAGACTCTCACACTTCATCTAACTAGAACCTAACCCTGTCTTCCTTTTGGCTTGTTTGCTTGAAAGGTTCTCCATCAGCAACCCCATCCTTCAATGGCTTAGACTCCAAGCACGAGAATCAGATTTGATGGGAACTATCCTTTCTGAACTGTAACCATGTCCCATCTGGATTCTTATGTTGGCTTTTAAACTTTATTTTTACACTTGTTCTTCACACACCCAACCTTTTCCCAACAGAGTGCCCAGAGTGGCCATTTTCGATTTGACAATGAATGTCAAGAATTGAAACCAAACCCCTGTTACAGAGAGAAAATCTACCCTTTATCGGTGATTACTGAGGTTCTGTGGGATTCAAATCCCTCCCAAATCCGTTCTCCTTCCAGCTCCAGTGACACAACCATGTCGTCAGACCCTTCCTGCCTCTGAGCCCCAACTTTAATAGCCCTTCTTCCAGATACGGTCTCACTAATTCAGCTGCTTGGTGAGACTCCTTTACATATTTGCTCTCTCGTCATCTTCTCAACACAAACTAATTGAATAACTGAGCACATATAAATATGGAGAGTGAGCAGTTATTGTTATGAATGCAGGTGAAGCATCTAAGCAGGTGATGATGTCAGGAAAGGAAGAGTAAGCCTTTGATCGGCATCACACCGATGCTGAAAAAATTTTTAAATTTATTCTGTCGGTGACAAAGTGAACGTTGGAATCTGGCTTAAATATAAACACACACACACATATACACATACACATATATATTTAAAGTCTCAGCCTAAAAGTGTGATTCCAAAATAGGCAGACTAATCTCATGTGCAACATGTTTAAGAGCACAGCACCATTGCTTTGGAGACAGGCTCTATAGGAAGCACATAGACAACATTCTGAGAGGCCATGTGGTAGAGAAGGAAAAATCCTCCAACTGAATTCGTCATTGTGTGAACAATCATGGCCATTTGTAAGTGGGATGCTCTGACACTTAAGGTCTCAATCAAACGGCACACTCTCCACCCTTAGAACACTTTCTGCCAGCTAACGCCCAGGGTCTGACTCACCAACTACTGCCCAGCATCTGAGAGTTCTTTGCCCTCTGCAGTCTGCTGCCTGTTGCAGAAATCTCTGTGAAGATTTCCTGGGTTTTACTGTCATTTCCTATTACCTTACCAAGAGCTTGGTTGGTTTGAAATAAGTTCTATCATAGTCTCTATATAAATTATCCCAGTTCTTACCGACTTTGAAAAATATGTTGATATTCGTTTAAACTTATCCTCCTTGGAATAGGTAAACTCAAAACCAACTGAATTGTCCTTCTTTTTCTCCGGCGTTGAAGAGTTTTCGTCTGGGAAAACTGAATCAACTCCTTTGACTTTCATAGGCGCTTCGGTGATTTTAAACTTTAGAGCCAAATTTGCATTAACGTTCAAGGTCCTGTCTCGTAAGAAGTCTCTGATTATATGAACCTCCTCTTCGTAATTCTCAGTTACGAAATTTTTATCAGCCTTCGTCTAAAAGTGTATATAATAATAAAAGAGCTGTTAAAAACAAATGAGAATCAGACAGCTATTCGAAAAACAGTAGAGCGAGGGAGCGACTTCTCTAGGTGAAGGGTGCTGGGGTTAAATTTCTGTGGTTCGAATACAGACAAAAATCAAGGCATAGTCCTCTAACATCTAATGGCACAGAATAAATGAAATGGGACATAAAACAATCACATTTAATTCTCTCCTGAACACCTTCTAGAAAACTCAGCAAGGAAAAGTAGCAATGCCTAAACTCCCATATCCAACATCTGGGGTTTTACTATAATCTGGGGTCCGAACGGCTTTAGCAGGCCTACCCCCCAAGTCCCACTGTCAGCAGCACGTACAGCTTCTCTCCTAGGTCCAGGCCCTATCCATCCGACATCTGCAGCTTTCCCTAGCCAGTGTCCTATGGTTCCAACACTTCAAACATCCTGGGGTCTCTATTGCAAACAAGGTTTCCCCTTTATAGCTTCATCCACAGCCTACGAGGGCCTCCTTGCAGGGACTCCAACCCCGCCACACAGTGCCTAGCCTCAGCAGCTCCTCATGACTGCCCTCAATCTTGCATGTTTCATGTTTCAAAATCAGCATAATATGAATGATGTTTACCACACTGCCAAGTTCGGGGCCAGCCTCTTACGACCTAGTCTGGCTCCTCTTGGACCATAGTTGTGTTCCCTTCTGAGTACTGACCCTGTGGAAACACTTCTGTTGCTCCAGGGGAAGCATGGGGCCTTCTCCACAAAGGCAGCACCAACCTGAGTACCAGGGTTCCTTGATGGGTCCTCCGTGAAAAGAATTAATTTGTTAGTTTTAGATTCCATTTTACTCAGAGTCTCATGTCACAGGTAGAATAAAGCCATATTTGTTTGGTTGAAATATCAGTGGTTCTGGGATGAAAGGGATAGTTACAGCTGGAGGGCTCTTTGTCATCCACGGTTCATCTCCTAAGTCTTATGTGTTCACTGAGACCCAGGTTTAAACAGTACAATGCACCCACAAAACCTGACTCAGGCTAACAAAGCATTGATTTCAGCAACAAAGAAAGAGCCAAGGAGCAGCAGGTTGAAAAGGACCTGTGCTGTAAGTATAATCCATTTTCACCTTCATTTCCATGGGCCTCAGATGTTCTCGCACTCTGAGTTATAAAAGAGGTTGCAGCACCTTGCCAGTCTGTGACGTAATATCACTAATGAAGTTCTGAGCTTTGGCTAAGTTTTTCACTAATTATGCTTTAAAAATAAGTAGTAACAAGGGTTTATTGAGTGTTTGCTATGTGCTAATAACCCTGGGAGAGATTTCCAAATTTATATCCCTGTATAGCAATGAGATGTGCAATATCATTTCTGTGTGTTGTTGTTTTTTTTTGTTGTTGTTTTTTTTTTTTTAATCCGAGACAGGGTTTCTCTGCGTAACAGTGCTGGCTATCCTGGAACTAGCTCTTGTAGACCAGGCTGGCCTTGAACTCACAGAGATCGCCTGCCTCTGCCTCCCCGAATGCTGGGATTAAAGGCCTGCGCCACCACTGCTTGGCTATTTCTGTTTTCTACTTGAGGACGCTGAGTCACATGAGAAATCCTTTACTAAAGATCTCATAGCTTCAGGCTGAGGTAGGTTTCCCACCCATGAAGGATGGGTTTTAAACCCCAGCACATTTGAGATAAGATGCGTCAAGTGAGGGGAGAGGGATAAGACCAAGATGTCATAACAGGTCAGCATTACTTTTTCAAATAGCAAATGGCAATCATTTATTGCCAATGAGTCACCCAAACAAGGTTGCCAAACCACCTCATATGGGTTGGCAAGATGGCTCAGTGGGTAATGGTGCTTGCTGCCAAGGCTAATGACTTGTGTTCCATCCCTGGGACCCACATGGTGGAAACAGACAATTGACCCCTGGAAGTTGTCCTCTGAATTCCGTATGAAACCCACAGTGTGTGTGTACACCACCACTCACAATAAATAAATACAGTGTAACGAAAACTAATTCATCGGGCATCAGTCTCTGAGTACCTCCTCCGTACGTGCGGCTGATAATGGGCCATAAGAAGGTATACTTAACTCAGGCTTTGTACTGTTACAGAACGTGTGATGGATGGTTTATTTTCCTGAGCATTTGAAACGGAGGAAAAGCTTTGTGCGTTAAAATAGAGATTTCCACTCACAAGAATTCATGCTTATTCATTATGATAAGACGAGCTTGGCAACTTGTTTTCCAAGCCCGTAACAGGTTTGTCCAAGGTCACCACCAGCAGTCATAGTGCCAAGGAGACATGGGATGGGGGACTTAGCGAGGGACTCAACTCAAACACCTCTCTTCCCTGACTGGTACCAAATAAGAACTCAAGTCTACATTCCTGCCTGCTTTTTTATAAGCTCCATGGAAAAAAAAACTCATTTGGAGGGCACTCATCGCACCCACACTAATAAACAGTGATTTATAGATTTCATTTATTCCACATTGTGTGAACATAGATTAGTTTTGCAATAGAACGCTTAATGTGTTTGATTATGGCTTAGTGTTCCAAATATCCCAGGGGTGTAAGTAATGCACAGGGCAAAAACTACGCCTTTCTCCCAAAGTGTAAAACATACTAAAATGTTGAGCCTGATGTCTTTCTAGAGGTGGGGCAAGGGGAACCAGTGTGTTTACTCTCCTGAGGTAGGTTGATGTTTAATCCTGGGTGGCCCTGTGACCCTTACCGTTCTGTGTCTTACAAGTTTCACCTTTACACAGGCACTGCAGGGCTGGTCACAGAGGTTACATGAATTGTTGCTTAATCACCGTGGTCAAAATATGTGAGGGGAAACGTATTTCCCCAAACACGAGAGGGGAAAGGCTGATTTTGTCTCATCATGTCTGAGATTGTGATGGGTATATTGTGGCTACAGCTGGCACGTAACGGTGGACAGTGCCCAGTAACGGGCACAGCTCTGACTGTAGCAGCGGAAGCGTCAGCAGGAAGCCTGTTCCTCCGGAGAAGGCAGAGGCAGAGACATTCAGCCTGGAACGAGGGTTGGGGTAGATTTTCAAAGATCTCCCCTAGTGAGCACTTCCTCCAGTCAGGCTCCAGGCCATAAAGGCTAGCTAATTTCTCCAAACAGTAGCACCATCTGGGCCTCAAGTATCCAAACACACGAGCCCATGGAGGACATCTCATGGATTTCACTCTCAGGACCTACCCTACCACAGTGGCAAAGACTTCATAAAGTCAAGATGGGAGAATTGAAAACAAAAGAAGACAATATGCCAACCAACTTTCACCCATCATTAATGGCTAAAGGTGCCATGTTTTCTATATTCCACTTAGAAAAGGACTTAAATTTTTTACTGTCATGCATTTAATCACAATACCATCGAGGCAGACACAAATAAGATCTCTGTGAGTTTGAGGCCAGCCTGATCTACATAGTGTGTGCTATTCTGGACAAGTCTATATAGTAAGAGTCCAACTCAAAAAAAATCATTTACATTGTGTGTGTATGTATGTGGTAGGCCCTGTGTGCCATGGTGCTTGTGTAGAAGTCAGATAACAACTTGGGGGAATCTGTTTCCTTCTTCCATGATGTGGGCCGTGAGTATCAACCTCAGATATCCAGGCATGGTGGCAAGGGTTTCTACCAGCTGAACCATCTTACAAGCTCAGAAAAGTAATTTCGGATAGACTGTTGACTTGTACTCACAAAATTTTGTGCTTAAATGAGGCAAACATGACACTATGGAGAAGGACCATGACCTCCAAATGTACCTCAGAATTGTGGGAATTTGATGACTTTGTTTTAGGTCTACAGTTGCCAGAAATATGACAATGGGATCATCTGTGAACGAAGCGCCCATCTGGTCCAGATAGGAATCCTTAACTAGCTCTTAACTGTTAAGTCCTTAACAGGCAAACAGAATGGTTTCATGCTGAAAATGGGTAGGGATTTTTTTGGGGGGTAGGGATTTATTTATGATGATTTTCAAACAATACCAGTTATAATTTTTTAAAAGTCTGTATGTCTTTTAGTCTGGTGGGAGTAACATCAGCAAAAAGAACTTTCCAGAAATGGAATGAAGAAGGCACAATGGGACTTCTTCCTGAAAGGATTAGTTCAAGGAACAGTTGACATGGAAGCAGTTTGATCATTTTGATCACACGTAAAATCTGCTCTAATTTTGTTTTTAGTCATTTCAGAACTCTGGGTGAGTCTATAGGATATAGATATTTTACCAAATCTTTATCCTTGAGTGTATATAGTCAGGCTAACGGAAAGGCTACTGTGTGTCTCTGAAGACGTCTAAGATACACTCTTCCTTAAGTGAACCCCTCGCTCACTTTAAATTCTTATTGTATTGAAATTTTCACCAAACCTACTATTAAATATTTCAAGGCACCTTTCCCCAACCAAAACAAAACAGTACGTTTTTCTTCATGGCGACTTACTTCATAGGCCAGAAAAGCAACGTTCCATGGTTTGCGATAGTATGTCAAAGTGTTTCCATCCCGTACCCGGTCACAGAGTCCGTTGTAGAACTCATTGTCAAAAGGTGTGTTCAGGGGATCCATCCCTAAGATATTGATCCTGAGAACAAGCAGAATGGGGTCATATGGGGTAAATATCGTTGGCAATGCAAGGCAGCCTTCTGTAGCGGGGAGAGCAGGACAGCTTCGATCCATGCCGTTGTCAACCAACACGCGTGCCGTTTAATCAGGAACAGGGGTCGGGGCCCGTTCAGTTTAGCGCAGTGTCTTGGCAGAACGCATGCCTTAGGAGGGGCTTGTAAAGTCTTTGGCACCCAGGGCACTGTTAGAGCACATGAAAGAAAGGCAGTAAAGTAGGCCGCGTGGGACTCTCTGGCTCCTGGAGTCTTAGCTCTAAGGCTGCACCTCTTACCTCACATTCCTGACCGAACTAAATGCCAAACGCTATAGCACCAACGACTTAAATTATTTGAGAGCAGAACATCCCAGGAGGGCAGTATAATATATACATGTAATCTTTCATCTGTGGATCAACATTGGGGCTCTTTCTCTTTCTCCCAATTCTCTTTCAACTTAAACCTTCCTCCAGCTGTCTCCCTGCTTGTCAAGAACCCCACCCCTTCCCCAGAAATATATTATTCCTGTTAGACTTTCCAAGAAGAACATTCAAAAAAAAAATCGGCATCCGAGTAAGGTATTCTTAAAAGTTCTATACACCACCCACTCAGAAAAAATATTTTTATTTGGCAAGCTTTAATTCACAGACAGAAATATCTTTTATCTCTTTTTAACTTTAAACACAAGTTTTAACAAACTTTTAACCAAAGTTTAGTCTGATTTCTAGGCTTAAAGACAGCATCGGCACGGGAAACTGTTAACTCTTTGTCAAGTTCACCTTGCCAGTTTGAGGAGCACAGGCATTGCTCTGTGGGCAGTACCTACAATAGATGGCTCTGAGCCCAGGATGCCAAGGTGGAAATTTCTTCCACGCACCTATAACTCCCCAAACAAAACTTTATCCATTGTTCTAGAGCACATGCCTAACTCCAATTAGCAGGATTATAAATGTGGTATATTGCTTTGAAGAGCAGTTTGTCAGAGTGGAGAGGACTCACCACGAGTCCATTGCTGATTAAAAATAACAAAAGAATAAAACCAAGAATATTACCAATATTAACAGGTGGGTTAAAACAACTTCAAAATTATGGCACGTTTTAACTTAATTAATACAAAGCTACCAAGAAAGCAACATTGGGGCTCTGTAGTGGAAGAACAAATGGGGAACTTATTTGTAAAGGTTGAGCTACAGATGAAATTAACTCACTGCCTAATCAGCCCAAAAGACCTTTCCCTGCAAATGCTAAGGCCCTGATGTTCCAATACAGAGCTGAAAGTGAGAGTGGAGGGTTCAAATAAGTCCCAGGAACAAATGCCCAGACATTGTAACTGCTTAACTTTCTTTAACATTTTATGACTTGTTTTGTTCTGTTGCCTCACCCACCCCTGCATCTACAGTCCTCCTCCCCAGGGCATCCTGTGAGGCTCTATGCTCAACCACCTCACAAGTTGTTTCAGCCAGAGGGAAGCCTCTGGACATAAAGAGGCCTCGTGTGTGTCTCTGTGCTTTCCTTCATTTGTGCAGTCACCTTGAGAAGGGCTTCTGATGGCGGCGGCGGCTGCTCCTCTTTAGCTATGTTGCTCCTGCAGCGCCAGCATTTCACCAAACCACCGTGGAAAGCAGTGCCACCCTAGCTAGCTGTTACAGCTCAAAGTCAGCGACGCCGGTCAAGCCCGGTCTTGTGAGGAATCACTTCTTGACTTCATTTCACTGAGGGTTGGATGCAATTCATCCACCTTGAAGTCATGCAGCAGTGGAAAGAACAGATAATGTCTTTGTTTCTGAACAGAAGTTCAGCTACATGTTAAGGGACAGTGAACCTTGTCTCGCTATGCACCTTCATTAAATAGACTCCTTCAGTGAACAGTGGAACTCCCCTTCCTGTCTAATGAGGAACCTCTGGATGACTAATTACCACATCTATGTGCTTATAATAAACAGAAGGCAAAATGAAGACGGTTAAAACACAATTGGCTCCCATGAAGTTTCCTTGGAAGTAGGGAGGATCGGAATATAATTATCTATTTAAAAAATTAGTTTGGAAAGAATATACTGTGTCAAACAAGTAGTATAAATAAATGCAGTATAAGGTTCGTGTTGCACAAGGACGTGATCATCATGGGGAGATCATAAAAGGAGTTGAAAAATAGAAGGCTTGGTTTGGGCTTTGGTGAGTGTGTAAACTGGGAGGTGCTGGAAGCTCAGGAGGAATGGCAAGATCCCACCTGTGGCACGCTTCGGGAGGATTGGTCTTACTTGTGTGTCTTCTAAAGGCATTTGGCTATGCCTTCGTAAACACTTTAGTGAGGCATCAAATATTTTTCCTCTTAAGCCTAAATAAGTTGCAAAAGGTATAACTTCCCACCAGGCTATGAATACTTACTAAAAACATAATTACTGTTTTATATGGAAAAATAAATCTAATATAGATTAATGGTATAGTGAAGGTGCATATGGTTCTTCCACAGAATTTTGACTTAATATAAGATCCAATATAAATTATTTCGAATAATCTTATTGATCACCTTTTCATGCTTTGTTGTATCAAAATATATTAATTGAATGTTTTATGTATTACATGTTCCTTGACCATAAAGTTTAAGTATTGAAGCTAATTGTAAGTGGTATATATAAGTATGATAAATTTTTTAAAATTTATGGCTTACTTTATATGCATTGGTGTGAAGGTGTCAGATCCCCTGCAACTGGATCTTCAGACAGTTGTGAGCTGCCATGTGGGTGCAGGGAACTGAACCCGGATCCTCTGGGAGAGCAGTCAGCACTCTTAAGCACTGAGCCATTTCTCCAGCCCCAGTATGATAATTTTTTAAGTCATTACCAAACCAAGTAAAATTGTATTGGAAAGCTATCCCAGTGCAATGGATTGGGCTTCTTTTCAAATAGATAAATTTCTATATCTGTGGATAAATGTTGCTTTGTGCTCCTAAGATACAGGGCTCAGCACCAGTATTGCTTCACTTTCACTTCCCATTTTATCGATATAAATGAGGAAAAAATACCTAGTAGAAGGTATTTTGTTATTGTTGTAATGATCTGTCCTATCCCTTTAAGAGACAAGCCATGCCCACTCCCTCCCTTGTCCACTGAGGCAGGCAGATATTCCTTACTGCTTGCAGCCTGAGTTTCTTCTTTTCTTGAAGAAGCAGCTTCTGTCTCTCCCTTCTCTCCCTTCTCTCTCTCTCTCTCTCTCTCTCTCTCTCTCTCTCTCTCTCTCCCTCTTTCTCTCTCCTCTTTTCCTTCTCCCCCTTCCATTCCATAACCCACTAAATAAATATCCAACCTCACTCTGCATGGTATACCTATCCATGTCTCTGTCTCTCACCTGCGACATGGCCTGGGGCCAGCCACCTTTGGAGACCAGCGGTATGGTCTTGTGGCATGCCCATCTCTCTGTCTCTCCTAATGGGACTTGCTGCCCCTCATGGCTCACTGCAGTCACTTGGGGAACTGCACTGTCTTTGCCTGGGACTGTCTGCTCTCAGGACGCCCCTGCCCACTGCCTGCTGCTACATGACCACTTTTACTGCTCTGGGACCTGCAGCATTTCTGCTTCTGCAGCCACTGGGGATCCACAGCATTTTACCTAATTCATTACAATAGTAATGCCATTCAATTCTTTGGTCTTACATACTAAAAAGATTGCACACATAATAGCCTTTTATAAAAAAATTATTTTACAGTCCATTTGCTCATTATTGGTTAAAATTTTTAAAAAGTGGAGACCATTTTATTTCAAAGGCATTAGAGTCTAGTTGAGCCCTAAGACCTGGAATTAGACCTTGAGTTTTCTACCATGTAGTATTAGTGAGGTGGATGAGAGGGCTTTGGCTTGTGGAAGGCAGATGATAGGTGTGAAAAAAACTGCTAGAGTCTTGGCGGCATGCATCACAGCTGGTAGAGTGTTTGCCTCTCACGCACGAAGTCCTAGGCTCAGTCCCCAGCACCACACACACCTTGATGTGGTGGCACAGACCTGCAGTCCTCCATCACATAGTAAGTTCCTGTCTTGAGATGCAAGAAAGGAAGAAGCAGCTGTGTCATCGTACTAATCAATTTCATGAAAAACAAGTACAGATGGAGGTTGAGTCTTGTTGTTAGACCAGTTCCATAATTTTAATAGTTGAGGAAACTGTTACCTTGCAGCTTACTTGCCACTCTCCTGGAAGGGTCCTGGATGCCCTTTGCTATGCATAGCCTAGTTTGAAGGATATTGTTTCACAGAACAGCCCATTGACCAGCTGGCTGGACCCATCTGGAAAGTTATGGAAGCCAATGAAGTCTAAAGCACCACTAAGGGAGAAATGTTTCAAAAACCTTTGGCTTGACTCCACTCCTACAGAGACAGCCAGTCTGCTCTAAAATGAGCCAATATTTTTCTGCCAAGGAACATGAAAAGTGCTCAAGAGTAGAAAAGTCGTCACCTGGGAAATGTTAAGAAAAGCGTGTTCTTTGGCAATGTTTCGGGATGGCTGCTTCCACAGCTGCCCCAGAAGCACAGGCAGCTCTAATTCACTAGGTGAGCTGACAGGAAAGCTCCCTTCACAGAGGTGGAGCTCCGCTTAGATCACAAAGAAGTCATTCCTTACATATTGTACATCCTTTACAGCTGGCTTTGATTTGCGCTTTTTCAATGAATGCAAGATGGGCTGGAGGCCTTCCCTGAACATTTGTGGAGGATCTCAGATGCCTACAGGACAGAAGTCTGAAGCATTTGTAATACAATGGAATTCTGCCAGAGTAGCGACTTAGATGAGAGAGTCCTTCAAGTGGATAAAGATGAATTCATGACGTCAAGTTCCCATGGCTTGCCCACATAGAGTCTGGGTAAGAAGCAGTAGGCTGGGTCTATTGTGGTTTCCCCGAATGAAGTGTGGAGAAGCAGTTCCTAACCATACTGCTCCGACTGGCTTCTCCATCCCTGTGGTTGTCTCCTTGAGAAACGCATCCTATAAGCTCAGGCATTTGAACACTTGATCTCTACTGGGTGATGCTACTTGGGAAGGTTTAGGAAGTGTGGCCTTGCTGGAGGAAATACATCACTGTGGTCAGACTTTGAGGGTATATAGCTTTATACTATTTCTAGTTCCCTCCCTCTGTTTCTCTTGGCTTCCTGCTCCTCCCACCATGCCTGCCTGATGCCTTGTCCTTGGGCCACAACAGGCTCTTATGTGTCTGAAACTGTAAACCCAAATAAAACTCTTCCTCCTGCAAGTTACCTTGGTCTTGGTATTTTATCATCACAACAGAAACGCGACTGATACAACCCCCATGACCTTTATTTCGCATATAGTTCAAAGCTCTGTGAGAATAATGAAGGATTTTTATAAGTATCCAAATGTCCTAGAATTGAGGTTTATAATCATATAACAAAACATCTTAAAGCTTCTAGATATAAATGATTGATTTGCAAAGTATTCTGATATATATAAACATATATCATATAATATTTAATATACATATACATTGTGTTATATAATATGTAATATATTTATATGTAGAGAGAGAGCCTGGCTGTGCAGTCAAAGCTGCTCTTGAATGATCTTCCTATCTTTGCCTCCCAAGTGTTAGAATTATAGACATTATAATAAATAGCTGCTTAAGACATTTTATTTTTCATTACATTTATTTGTTTAGCGTGTGGGGGGGGGGATGCAGGTGTCACAGGGCAAGTGTGGAAGTCAGAGAACCACCTGGAGAAGCTGAGTCCCAGGGATCAAACTTAGAATGTCAGACTCAGTGGCAAGTGAGCCATCTCATTGGCCCACGGACTATCATTTTGCAAGTTTAGTTTTGTTTCCAGACAAGGCATTGACTTTGGGTCTTTAAAGCGGTATGGAGAAGGGCTTGGGTGGGTGTGGTGAAAAGGAGAAGGGTGAAGTGGTATGGTGGAGAAAATATGGTTTTATGTGACACAGAGAAACTTGGGTTTAGTTCCCTGAAACACTCACCAAAGGGCTTAAATTATTTCACTTAGTTCTTATTTACAAAATGAATATGGTAGCATCCCTGACAAAGTCACGGGGTGATTATGACAATCTGTACGATGGAATGTACAAAGGGATTCTGAAAAATTTAAGGTATTATGCAAAGGACAGTAGTAGCTTTTATAAAGACTGAATTTGTTAAGGGTCTTTGCTCCTAATAGTAGGGAATTCAATAAAACCTGACGATGGACTGATTCTGTCAGGACCCACCTCATTTTCCCTGTCTGCAGCTAATATTTCCCACAGCTGTGCCCCCTGCTCAGCCATGCTCATGCTCCCCAACTCCACTCCTGACTGTAATAAAGCGTGAGGCCCTAAGACTTCTTTGCCAATTCTCTAGGTTGCCTCCTTAGGAAACTTGCCGGCAAATGCTATGTTAATTTTTTTTCTTTTCCCTGAACAAAGGAAACCAATAGATTATGAATGATTGTTTTTTTTTCAGTTAAGTAGGCCAACATTTCTGTATTCCTTTCCAGTAAGACAAACTATAAATCTGCACTGAGTGAGAATAAATAACATATGTGATTCCTGTTTCAAGTTCTTTCATTGAGATTAGAGATAAAACTTCTTTCCCCTGAGGAAAGATGCAGAAGAGGTTTAGGATAATTTGAATCCATAGCAATCTGGTTAGAAGAGTTTTGGACAACCCTATACTGTTAACTACCATCTACTGAGATTCTTGGCCTAAGACAGTCTGTTTGAATCACAAACGCAGCTTTTAAGCTAAGGGCCAAAGGCACTGTGGGTAATATTTGAAAGCCATTTGAGTAAGATTTTATGAAGTGAATAAATGCTGTGTGAAACATTTATCTCATGCGTGACTCTTGGTATCCTAGAATTTTGTGCTTATGTTCACTAAATGGATGTTTCCTCTGACCTCAGAGAAAAGGCATCTTTACTTCCAGCCAAATCCAGTGTGGAGGAATTAGTCCTCAGGGTAGGGCCTTCTGACTCAGTACCACTGACAAAGCAGGCTGTGGGGAGCAGGATGCTCAGTGTCACCACTGCTCACCTCTAACGGCATCCATACCCGCCAGTGCTGTCCTCTGCAGTACTGATGATTCAAATGCTCTTCAGACATTCCTAAATGTCTCCCGTAGGGGAGTCACCAAATCCAAGAAATTCTGTCACTCTAGTTCCTCTGTCAGCGTTGTTCTTTCCACCTCTGCCATCCTTTTTCTTCTCTCCAATTCTGGATTTCTGTCCCTGAGTTTCATCCTAGGGACCTAGTTTCTATCTTATTGGATATTAACCAAGGTTTCAGATGGTACCTATGAACGGGGCTTTTACTTGTTAAACAATTCACCTGTTTATCTACCCACCAAGTATTTATTGAACGTCTATTTTGAGTCAAGAATGAAATCATACGGATAAAGAAACCCATCCAACGATAGGTGGTGAATAGAACCCTGTACTCCTGTCAGTGCACAGTAAGACGTGAGAACAACGGCATCTCTGTTAGGGACAAAATGGTCCAGCTCAAGATAGATATGCAAACTAACCAGTAAATGTCCCTGGACTGCCTTGCAACTGGAATGGGATCTATCGGGACCTCAGATCTGTCATCCTCTCCCGATGCCTGGAGCACAGACGTCTGCAGAATCCTCTCCTCTCTATAAAGTTCAAAGTTCGAAACTCCTAGACTTCCTTTAGCACTCACAGCCCAGGGCCACTACATTTTGTGTGGAAAATGCGTCACCTATCAACTCTCTACAGTGAGACCCCAAACCCTATTACCCTCTGGCATCATCACCTAGTCTTTTGATACCGTTTCTTCCAGCCCAACTCCAGAATGCTTGAACCTTTTCAGAATTTATAATTAGTTATCAGGTCAAAAAGCATTACAATGAAGGGTAACCATGTTGGGAACTCAGACATTTTAATGAACCTGCCATACCTGCTATGGATCATTTAATTCGAAATGTGGTCATGTCTTCCTGACATTTGTACATGAGATGCTCTGTCTCCTACTGACTGAGAGTGAAACTCATTCAACAGACTCCTACTGAGGCTGGGTGATACCCCTACATACCAGCTAAATACTCTGGGGTCCTCAAATGAATACAGACCAAGGTTTGCATCAACGGTGCCATTTGTAAAAGCCCTTCTGGATATTCTTCGTTGTGAAAGAGTTAGAGGCCATTTCCAGTCACTTCTCACCTGGACAGGTTCAACAGAAGTATATGAAATACAAACCCATAGCCTGCTGTTCGTCCCAGTTCAGATTCTTCTACCACTCGGTCGCGGCAAGGGGGGCGTGGATCTCTGTCACAGTCATCCTCATCTGAATAATCTCCACAGTCGTTGTCACCATTACACAGAAGTCGCCTCTTTATGCACCTGCCTGTAGTCAAAATCAGGACTCTTACGTCATGTGTGTAATGCTAAATGTTTTCATTTGCTGAAGTCACAAGGGGCACTTTGACATTGGAAGTGAATGATGGATACAGTTGAGCTCTTTCTATAGACTACATAGCTAGCCTTTATTGGGAGCCATTAGACTTGGAAATGTCTACTTATGAAAATGTGTTTATTTTTCTTTGCTCACTAGTGGACACAGAAGCCCACAGAGAACCACTGGACTCTCAGATCACCTGTTCCACACTGGAAATCGTTCCCACAGTTGATCTGTTCCTCCGTACACTCCTCAGTGGGTTCACAGGGTAGCCGATCACCCAAAGCATCAACACAGCTCCTCCCATTAAACTGTCCAAAGGCTACAATGCTTCTTGAACGAAACTGCAAACAATCAAACAAAAGAACAGCTAAAAATATTCTATTTCCTAATGCGAAAGTGGATTGTGATTTAAGGTCTTCGTTCTCAACCCTTCCAATGCTGCGTTCCTTTGATACAGTTCATCCTCTTGTGGTGACCCCCCAATTATAAAATTACTTCCGTTGCTACCTCCTAACTGTAATTTTGCTACTCTTCTGAATCATAATGTAAATATCTGTCTTTTCAGATGGTCTTAGCCAACTCCTGTGAAAGAGTCATTCAGCCCCCCAAAGGGGTGGAGACCCACAAGTTGGGCACTGCAGGAATAAAGCAACATTTCCATCACTGTAGACCCCACACCCAATAGGTTCATGATGATAAGAGAGAAGCGAAAGAAACCACCGCTGCTATCACTTAACAAGAGTACTTGGCCTTCTAGGTTATGAAGTCTCTTACACACATGAAATACCATAAACACTTACCCAGTCTGCTGTTCACCATACAGGTCTCCTGGTCAGATCAGCCACATTCATTTCAATGATTACCTCTTTCTGGGTTGGGATTTGTTCCTGGGGGTCCCTTCTTCCTATCCATTTCCCCGAAGACACCAGCTTTCATTTGAAGAACTCGGATGGATGGATGCAAATACTTACCTTTTGTTTGAGGCAAGGATCACACGGTGACCATTCACTCCAGGGGCTCATTCTGCAGTCTATGGGTGACAGAGAGTCTTCTCTGTGTGTCAGCTCTTCCCTAGAATGAAGATTAAAAGGAATTCATTTAAAATGCCATTCTGTACACCTCTTTCCCAGGAGCCTTGCAAAACCAAATTCATATATTTACTACTTTTTCCTTCCTAAGTCATAGTGTTTATTCAACACAAACACACATGCACACATTCTATATCAAACATGTATGAGTATGTATGTGTGTATATACGTGTTTTGCATGTGTCTGTGTGTATGTGCATATGCACATGTGTGTGCATGTAGTTAAGGCAAGAGCTCTTCAGATGCCTTCCTCAGTCATTCTCCTTTAGTTTTTGAGATAGGATCTCTCAGTGGATCTGAAGTCATCGATGTAGCTGGACTGGGTAACCTGCCAACTCTAACAATCCGTTTGTTTCCATCCCTCCTCCGCCCGCTTGACTTACAGACACATCCCACCATGACTGGTTGTAAGTAGTGGCCAGCAGATCTGTACTCAGATCTTCATGCGCATGTCTCCTTTACCAGCTCACTCATCTCCCCAGGACACTCTGGATTCCTTACTGTGTCTCCCATGACACTTGAGCACATGGCGTCTTGTATTTTTAATCCATTCTCTTGTCCAGTTCTAACTTATCAACAGTAACAGTAATGATGGTAACGAGGACAATGGTCAAGGTCTCCTAACAGATGTTCGACCCTGACTCGCCTTTTTCCAAGTACAAAATGGACTCGTTGGAGCTGAAAATCTTGTTTCACTTTCTTTGTGAATCTCATTTATCCCCCTGTGAGGCTGGCAAAACCTGGAGTTGCCTGGCTCTCATGCAAAGTTAAGCCAGTTAGTCCAGCCATTCCTATAACAAACGCTTCATAAATCAGCCTCTGTCCCCAGAATTTCATGTTTAATGTTTGAAAATAGATGCTTTCCTGCTTTACAGCCCACTTCGAGACTTATTCATGCTCTTTTTGAGTTTCAGCATCATGTGTCTTAGCATTTACAGCTTCCCCTTCCATTCCTAGGCACAGTGCTCAGCCTTAGTTCTCGGCCACTCTAGTTTGGAACTTTTTTCCCATTTGGTTTACCATTGGGTCTCTTCTTATCACATCCTTGCCTTGGGTACTTAACTCATTAAATAATAAGAGACAAAGTAAAAGAAGGAAGAAGCTATCCAACAAGAAGATCATACAGATGTTTTACCTCTGCTTTCCTACTTTGGCAGCTGTCCTTCTATCAAAACTCTCACATCAGGGAGAGGCCCAGGTAGGGTCAATCCCTTCACAAGAATGTTCTAGAGCTCATTTCCAATTTGAAGTTGATCAGGTGAGTGTCTCATCCGCTTTAAACTCCTTTTCATAATTATCTCCCTCCAATTGTAATACAGAATATTATATTAAATAAGCCAATGAATGAATAGGTAAGCCTCCCTCTCCACTACTCCAGCCTTTTCTTTTGCCAGCCCTATCATCTCTCTTGCCCTTCATGACAACACATTTTTAAAAACATTGCAATAAATGCCATTATGTCTCTCTCTTCCCCACGTAGTCTCATCTCCTTCAGCCATCCATGCTCCTTGAGCCTTTTCAAATTCCTCCATGCTTTTCATTTTTTTTCGTGCAAACTTCCTGAAAAAGTACCCCGCTCTCTGATCTAGCCCCTTACCTCCCAACCAGTTTCTAACTCTCTTGCCCCATGCGCCGTGCCCTTGCTCAGCAATGACTGTCATGTGGTTCCATCACTTCCTCTCAGCGGTTATCTTTTTGGCTTCCCCTCACCATCTACTGCAATTGACTGCTCGTATTCGGCATTTCCCTTTGTCCTCTGTTTACTTCCTTGACAGTTTCATAGCTGTCCATGAAGCTCCATTCTCCGCTCTCATCCCCACTCTCTACAGCTGACCCTCCTTCTGTGCTTTCATCTCTTCTCTTGTGTGGGACCCATTCAGTTTAATTACAGTTGCTTTCACAAGTGTGGGTGGGAGGTTGTTTTCTGGAACACTGGCTACATAGCACTTAGCTACTGGCTGTGGATGTTGTACATCCATACGGTGTATCCAGTCTTGTTTGTGCAGGTAATCACAGCTGCAGTGAGTTCATGTCAGGTCTAAAGAACTTATTTTTGCTGTATATCCCCCCATCCTCTTACTGCTACATTCTTTCCTCTTTTTTTTTCTTTAATTTCCACAATCTTCTGAAGGAGATGGTATAGACATCCCTTTTATGACCAAGTATTCCACCACCTCTTTTATTAGGCTGAACAACACTAGACTTCTTTTTTAAAAAATATCTTTTCTCTGCTATTTTAAACGACTCTCCTCTCCTCTGTAGGATTCTCCTCCTCGGTAGTTTGTCAAGTGTTATTTATTCATTGAAGTGCTGTCATTAGATTCTCCTCCCCTCCCCTCCCCTTCTCTCCTCTTCCCTCTCCTTCCCCTTTCCTCTCTTCTCCCCTTTTCCTTTTCCATTCCCTCTCCTCCTCTCTCCTGCCCCTCCCCTTCCCTCCACTCCTCTCCTCTCCCCTCCCCTCCTCTTTCCTCTCCTTCCTCTACCCCTCCCCTCCCTTTCTATCCTCTCTTACTTTCCCTCTTTTCCTATACTTTCTCCAGATCCATGGTTTCCACGTGTGTGCTAACGATACCCAGACAGATAAATGTGCTGTCCAGACATCTCTCTTGAAGTTTAAACTTTCACATCCAATTCTCAATTCTACATCTGTACTTGGACATCCTCATGGCCCATTGACCTCAATGTTTCCCCAAAGGAATTTATTATTTTCCTTTTCTTTCAAAGCCGCTCTTTCATTTATGTGTTATCCTAGACAGAGACTTGGTGGTACGTGTCTCATTCTCTATCCCCCCCCCCTCATTTCTAACATCTAATTGAGCACGTTTCAGTTGTTGGCAGTCTTGTAAATGATTTTCCAATCCGTCCTTACCTCCTAATATCTTGCAGATGTTCTTCTGGTTTGCACTATTATAACATCTCTTCTAGCTGACTCTGGTAATTTCTTTCTCACTTAGTTTACATATGGCATCCAGAGGGATCTTTCAGAAAAGCAAAGTTGATGTGACCCTGCCCCTTCTGTAAACTCTCCAATAGTTAGAGAGACGACTTGTGTGACAAGGCTCAAATCTTTCAATACCATGTAGAGAATGACTCCCGGAGATGTTTAAAATCCTTGAACTCTATGAATACTATTTACATGGCAAAAGAGACTTTGCAGACATGTTGCATGGGAGGTTATCCTATGCTTTTTAGTGGAATCATTCCAATCATGTTGAGATCTTAAAGAAGAATTGTTCATTGAAAATAAAGAAAGAGAGGTAGGAGAAACCCAAGATCTGAAGGAGATTTCATCCATACCACCAGCTCTAAACATGAAAGAATGAGACAATAATTAACACTAAAGTCTTTTGGAAAAAAATCATATGGAAACCCACTACTGCAGAAGCTTCCTAAAATATATACACATATCAAAAAATGCAAGTGGACTTACCCTATAATAGGGAGACAAGGCCTCAACTAAATATCATATACCACCAAATAAAAGTAGTCAGTACTAAAAATGGGTTATATATTTTGAGTTGTTGTTGGCCAATGGGGTCTCCTAGAACCTCTAAAACATTCTAGGTTGTAGCCAATGCTCTTGGTGACTCTCCACGACTTGGAAGTAAGACCCTATTGCTGAAAACCCTACAAACTTGTGTTTTACAACATGGAGAAGTCTAGCCGATACCCAGCCAGAAGCTTCATCTTTAGTGGCTTTTGCATCTATAGCCCTGGAAGGTGCTAAACACAGAACAGGAAGAGAAAAGCGACCACCATGCTCGCCCAGTTATCATGAGCTACAATGATGACATGAGTACTCAGGTNTACACATACCTGATGGATTTCAACAAGCAGTGGTAGAGACATTCTGTGTTCTATATTGGTTAGATGTCACAACCTTGAGATACTAAAGACAGTAAATTGGGGGTGTGGATAGACAGACGGTTTTGTGGTTATGAGTAGTTGTTACATTTCCAAATGACCCTAGATCAATTGCCAGCACCTGCATGATGGCTTACAACCATCTGTAATTTGAGTTCTCAGGGATCAGGTGCCCTCTTCGGGTCTTGGAGGTCACCAGGCATGTAGGTAGGACACAGACACAGGTGTAGTCAAAATAACCATATGTAAAATAAAAATAAATTAAATTAAAAAACTAGAAATGTGGCGAGGATATAAATCAATTGTAGAGTGCTTTGCTAGCAAGTGCAAGCTTCCAAGCTTGGTTTCCCAATAAATAATCAAAATAAATAAATAAATAATCAAATTATAGCCCTCTATTATATTATTAATTAAATCAATTTCTTCAGGACTGAGTTCGAGATAACCTAGCTTGGGGAAAAAGCTACCCAGGTGATTCTCATGTTCAAACAATGTTCAGAAATACTTCATGACAAAACCTGAAGGAAACCCATGGCAACTGAGAGTGTGCAAGGTTAAGACCTCATAAGCTCTCCCTCACGAACGTTAGCTTGCCTGCCAGTGTCCTTGCTAAGGCGGTCCTGTTGGTGAGACTATATGGCTGTAGCTTCTGATGTTCTTCAGAGACACAAGCTCTCAAAAGACAGTACCTTCCTCTGAATCTTACAGTCTTTCTGCCCTTGCTCTGCAATGAGCCCTGAACCTCAGATTTGCGAGTTGTGTTGTAGCTGTATCCTTTGGGACTAGACTTCCTACATCTTCTTCATGTAGTTTCCCCCTTGTCTGGGTTCAGATTTACTCTTTTTAGGGACACTATCCATATCAGATAGAGTCTCACTCTTAGCCACAGTTTAATTTAATTATATTTTTAAATGGAACAAATATAGTGACTACTGAGCATAAGGACTGCAATAAATCAATTGTATGGGAACAAAATTCAGCTTAGAAACTTCAAGTGGTTTTAACCAAGCAAATAAACCTAATATTTAAACCTCAAATTAATGTTGGTAGCTTCCATTTCTTGTATTTCAAGTTCAGGGCCAGATACCTAACTATTTATTTATATAGGGGGTTATTGCCACAGCGTGTATACGGAGGTCAGAGCATGACTTTCCAGGTCATTTGTTTTCTTCTACCCTGTGATGTCACCAGGTTTGGGGGGTCAAGTGCCTTTACCTTCTTAGTCAGGGTGGGCTTTCTATTACTGCTTTCTAGGCTCTCTCCTCATAAGCATTTTATTTTGACTTTGAATAATAGGTGCTATTTATTATGATTTACAGATAGGAAATAAAATTGGAAAACTGCATTACTCTGTCCGGGTCAAACTGTTATTAGCTTTAGAGCCAACAATCGCTGTGCTTGGTTTGGTGCAGTTTGCTCCTGCCTTTCTGTTTTTCTCCTCCCTCAATACAAATCATCTTTGAAATAAGCTGAGCAGCCATAGCTTGGTCAATAATTTCTAGGTGGAATAACCTCAAGATTTTTAGACATTTGGAGACATAGTGAGTTAGTAAGAAAGAACACAATTTATTTTTATATAGCCACCTAGATAAAGTTCATCAACTGGACAGCCTAATTTCTACCTGGATCAACAGCAAGCTTACAAAATGAAACGATGCCAAATGGGGCAGAAATAAATGGGAGATTGTGCTAGTCCCTGGCGATTATGTCTTCACTCTGTCAGGTGCCTGGCTCTCCCAGGACACAGTTAAAGCAGGACTCCGAGGAATTAGTGGGGGAGACTAAAAAGTTGCGCAAACAGTGTTATTGAATAAGCATGCTGCATACATATTCAGACGGGAGATCAATGACCTCGAATAACTCGGCCTACCTCCCACCCTCTGAGCCCAGTGCTGCCTTGCCAGCCCCTCTGACTCACTCAGCAGATAACCCTGTGTAGCTTGAGGACTGCGTGTGCCTAGCAGGCACTGCCTGCCCCTCATCCTGCTGAGCTATTAGGCTGAGTACAGAAGTGTTCCCCCAAGCACTTTCTGGCTTCTCTGATGAACTGTGCTTATCAAGGGCAGCCTAGCAAGTGTTTGAGTGTTCTCAGCTGGGAAGGCACTCACTTCCTGGATCAAAGCAATGTACATCAACCCCGCAGGGGTTCTAGCTCTGGGTCAGAAAAACATTGAAGGAAGGTTCCATCTTCCCACCAGGCCAGGGGGAGAAGTTTCCAGAGAAGGGCAACCACTGCCTCTTATTGGCTAGCTCTTACATATTGAACTAACCCATTTTTAATAATCTGTGTAGCCCACGAGCTGGCTTACCAGGGAAGATCTTAACCTGTGGCTGTGTCGGGTGGGAGAATCATGGCGACTCCCTTCACTGCCGTCTTTCTTTTAGCATCCTGTTCTGTCTATTCCGCATACCTAATTTTTTGTTTTATTAAAGGGCCAAGGCAGTCTCTTTATTTATCCAATGAAATTAACATAAGCCAGAAGACTCTCCCCCATCAGATGCTTTTGTTGTCATACACTAGTGGCTGAGACACAAGGAGCATGTTTACCAAATGTAATGTGAATCACGTCTGTTGAGACGCTTGAGTTTGGAGGAAGCAGGGTCTGCCTTGGGTGCCCAGCCTTGCAGCCATGGGGACCAGACTCTGAAAGTCGTCTGGCTCCCGAAGCTAAACTCTGAGCTGTTATTTCCCTCACGGATAGGATGTAAAACTTTCCATTCTACCCAGAGAAACACAGGAGACTGAGATGAAGGTTCGCTCAGGACCTGTTCTCCTGGGAATTCACCTTGAGGTGAGATTAGAAATTCCTAGCAGTAACTGTTAGCAAAACTCCAAGAACCTAGTGACGTCCTGGAAGGCTGTTGTAACTCCATTCCCTTTTCCTGAACAAGGGGGGCGCTCAAAGCAAAAAGAGCCACGAAATCATTATAAAATATACCCAATGCTTATTGCATTTTTTTCCATAGGCCTGGGAACAGAAGCTCTGAGTACTTTACACACGTGATAGCTAATGTTCACATGAGACCTCTACTGGGTAGAGTCTTTCATCCTAAGTGTATGGACTGAACTGTGTTCCCTCCAAAAGTCAAATGATATTCTGGTAAAACCTGGTTGATGCCTGAGATTGAGAATTTGCTTGTAAATAGGATCTGGATAAAGGTGATTGTATTAAAATGGAATCATGGAAGTAGGCCTCACCACCAATAAGTCTGGTGTCCACATAAAAAGAGAAATCTGGACTCTGGGGAAATGACTCAGCAAGCATTAAGACCAGAGTTTGATCTCCAGGACTTAGGGGAAAAGGCTTTGTTTGGGTGGCATTTGTGGAGAAAAGAGGGGACTGGATATATA